CCATCCATCCCACTGTTGACATCATGGCTAACACAGATGGCAGTGATGAAATGCACCCAATGATACTATAGATTCCATCCCATGAAAAGGGGTAAAGAGAGGGGGAAACAAAGAAATGAAGAAAAGTGCAGAGGGGTGGAACCACGCATTAGAGGGCCATCCAGAAAAGACCCCCCTCCTCCCTCAGAGATCAGGTTGGGTTCAAGCGCAACAAATTACCTAAATATGGTTGTGAAAAGGCCTTGGAAAAAAAGGTTTTGATGAAAACTGCAGAAAATGACAATAACGCTCAAAGAAAAGGGGAGCGATTTAGGGCCTCTGCTGTGCAGACACAATGTCACAAACCTGTCCATAATTTCACTGACTACAGAGGATAAAAATGGAAAAAAGTGTTAAGTCCCTGCTTTTTAACTTGCTCGTCCCTTTTGTGCAGTGGGAGGGAGCGGGATCTATTGAAGGAGCAGGAAGAAAAAGTGGAAGAAGTGGAGAGGAAGAAAATCAGAATACGAAATTTTCAGCCTGAGTGGTTTTTTCCAAATGAAATCTAAAAAGCTCTGAAACACAATGGAGTCCCCTTTTCCCCCCTCTTTGCTATGTGTGTGTGAACATACATAGGAGGTTGGTTGGTGGTTGGTTACCTTTTCAAGAGTGCCCAGCAGTGGACGTGTTTGGCATTTGCGGCCCTTGTTGCTCAATTGTACGTTCGCCACAGCAGCTGAATCTGGGCGCCGCCTGTGACCCGTGCGGATGCTTGTATTTCTTTTTTTTCCTCCCCCTCCTCATTCAGCCGATCAGTTGGAGGGTGGAGTGAAATCAAAAACAGAAATTATGTCTGACTTCTCCTCCACCCCGACCTGCCTTCAGAGATCAGTCTCTCTTAGTTCACATCTGTTTGTTGGCCCTTCGCCCCAAAGGCAGTCAACACGGTTGCTGAGCACTGCTGTTAACTAAACCGGCTGACTGGCAACTCAATATGTTTCTTACATAAGTGGAGAAAAAGAAGGAGAGAGGCTGTTTCACCTGTAATAAGTGTATGAGGAGTATGCGGCGCACATGGTCAACATTGTACTCACAAAAAGCAGCTCCATGGGGCGGAAACTACAAGAAAAAACAACATTTAGCAACATTCACAGGCTCAGGCACATGAAGCAGGGCTATTAACAAAGTGATGTGGCAGGAAAAAAAAAGAAACACTTCTTTAAAAGGCTCAGCACATCCCTGCCAAGTCCCAAATATATCCTCTGGGCTTGCATTTATTACTTTCAGACCAAAAGTCACAGCCTGGTCGGCCTTTACTCCACACACAGAGGAGAGCCATAAAAACTGGATGTGTGAGTTTTGTTCTGCGTGTGTGTGTTGTTTGTGGGTGTGCATCTGTATTTATCCAGGTGGTGGTAACAAGTTTCATATCTGAGCGCTTGCTCACATATCTAAATTATGTTTATGTGGTATTCTAAACTGTGTCAGTGCCTCGTGTGTGCGTGGAGGCATGCGTGTGTGTTTGTGTGTATCCTGACCTCAGGGAGGTTGTGGCTGTGGGTCCTACTATTTCTTTCCATTTAGTTTCCACTTCACAGCCTATAGCACACATTAGCCTCACAACCCCTGGGAAATGGTGCGCGCACAAACATAGTGAGAAACAGACTCTCTCACACACACACACACACACACAGGTTCACCACTCAGGGGGCACAGAGAAAAACACATTCCTGTATAATAAAGTGACATAACTTTTGTTGCATGACTGATTAAATGAGTAACTGTACAGGCCAAATGTATGTATGCGTATATAACTGTGTAGGCCAACTTTTTACATTACTGGCAGTATAAATCCGTGTAAAGAATGCAGCGGATCAGGAAATAACTTGTTCCAAGGACCTTCTGTGCTACTGTCCACATCCCACACTAATAGGAATTACAGTCTATAAAATGTTGCAAATTGGCAGCATTCAAACACATTAGTTACATATACAAAGAAATATGTCTTGCATGATTCGGGGTAGCATTGCATCTAATTTCATGCAGTTTTTCATTGCCTTATTTTTCTGTTTTTTAAGTTTTGTCAGAAGGTAAAACCCTTTGTTTGCACCTGTGCATGTGCATCCTTAAATGCACAAACGTGGAGAGCATTGTTGTAACCTGGAAATCACTCCTTTATGTTTTGTAGTTTTTGGTTACTTCGTAACTTAAACTAAACATGGATGAAAAATAGCTTCTTTTTTTTTTAAATCTCTTGACAATTGCATTGAGAGCACATTGTAGCTTCAAGAATCTGCTGCAACAAACAATTTGACATTAAGGACTTAACATCATCTTATCACAGAGTGCCAGAAAGTTTCAGTTTTGAGGGAAACACAAATTGTATCACGTAAGAATGTCAGGGTTTGAGAAACTGAACTTAGAATCGCTGACAATCCCTCCCAAGTCCACATTTCTCAGCAATTATGGACGAAAAGTAACAAGCAAACTCTTAAAGGCTTGCCAACATTAAACTCTGATCAGTAGCCAGTCCTCGCTGACCTTTTCCTCCTCCTTTGGCCTTGATGGTGATGGAGGGCCGGCTCTGGCCCAGCACAGCCAGACATATCAATACAGCGCCCAGCAGAAAATATAATCAAAACCTAAGTCCAACTCCTCCTCCTTCCCCTCCCTACTCTCACATCCACATACATACATCTTCACAGCAGACGCTTTAAGGAGTAAAGACAAAGAGACAGCTATCCATGCGGTAAAACCTTGTGCCAGGGCACCATCTGCTCATCCGCTCAGTGGAAGTGGTAACTTCCAGGGCAGTCAAAGACAACGCAGGAAGATTGAGGAGACGGGGCTCCCTTTTGACCGCTGTGAAAGAGCAAGGGAGTAAAGTTTGAAACAGAAAGAGTCCCGGCAGAAGGCTACCAGCCGAGCCAAGCAGTAGCAGGAAGCGAGCGCCTTGTGTGCCCTGAGATTTACGGTGACTGGTCCATCCACCAACCACCTGGACCTGCATAAATAAATTTAACCAGACAATTCAAAAACGGGTATTGCTGAGTGGACTCAAACAATGAGGGAGGAAAGACCATTTCCGCCCTCTGAATAGAGGCAAAGATGAATAGACTGAGTCACATGATAAATAACTACATAAATTCAAAATCATCTTCTGGATGAGAACATGGTCTAACACGGAGAGACAGAAAAAAAAAGAGCTCAAGGAGAGGGAGGGAGGGAAAAAACACAAGTGACAGTTGGCGATGGGAGAACAAGATACACTCACACACTCACACACACTCTTTTATCTGTTGTTGCCATCTCTAAGACACAATTGGCACCACTGTCCACAAATGCTGAAGACAACAATCCCAGCCATGAGAAACTATGTGTGTGTGTGTGTGTTAGCTGCTGTCTGCCATCACTGCTGCAGGTGGCAACGATCTACCTGCAGCTCTGTGCCCACATTACGCTTTTCAATGTGTTAAATCGTCATAAAGAAGCAGTTTAAGTAAAGCGCTCACTGAGCAGTACAGCAGAATGGCTTCAAACGCTTTGAGTCGACAAAATTCAGTTTAAAGATTACAAATGATAGAATTTTAACTTCTCTCAGGTGAGATGAATAGCTAAAGCCTGCACTGAAACAGTACAATATCCTGAATTGATCCATTCACTTTACGTTATTATTATTAGCCTTCAAACCGCTGCTGGCTGCGAGGAGTAACTACAGAAACACTTGATTGATACTTCAGTTGTTTCCTCTATGCTTGCCCGCTGTGTGCGTGAGGTCTGGAACTTCCTAGTGGCCACAGAGTGCCACTTACATCTCAGTTAAATGCAGGCACATGTAGCCAAGAGTATTCACATCTACCTCTTGACACAATCATTTAAAAATCTCCTGTTGAGCTACAGCCAAACACACAGAACTTTTTAGTTTTCTCCCCCCCCCAAAATACCCGGCAGTGCCAAAGCAATCAAACAACTGACTGGCTATCTGTCACTGAGCTGTAAACTCTCCAACACAAACAAACACAATTTTTGCAAGCCAAAAAAAATACAAAATTATATCTCCATCCTCCAAGCACCTTCAAATGTTTGTGCGGGAGAGACGCTGATAACGGCGCCCTCTTAACTTCAGACGGTGTGTTTGCATTTTAGCGGGGATATACATCTTAAAAGGATGCGGCAGTGAGAGAGACAGAGAGAGAAAAAAAAATGTCAGCGGGGAGGAAAGCGAGGCTTCAAACAGGCAAGAATGTCAGATGAGAGTTGGAGCTCAGTTATCGCCGTCTCAAGACGGACTAAAGGGAGAAAGCCAGAGAGAGAGAGAGACGGAAGGAGAGGTGACCGGACTGCCAATGACGCCAAACCTCTATTTAAAGCTTCCACAACAGTGTAGGCCTGACACTGACACATTTACCTCATGTTTTATCAGCAGCCACCTCCTCTCCAAAAAAAAAACAAAACAAAAAAAAAGTGAATCCACTTTTAGTGTTTTCAGCTCTTGCAGAGATCAGATAGCTGGTGAGAGTGTGCTGAGAGGAGAGCTTCTATGCCTGCAAATGAACTTTGGGGGCTTTTGGGACCGTGTTTAGTTGCTAATGTGTAGTTAAGCAGTGCCATTGTGAACAGCAGGGGGTGACAGCTCCGTCTCCTGCACATAAACAGGATAATCACCCTGGTGGGGAAACTGCGGCCGTTTTTGTTTTTTTTTTTTACTCAGTGAAAAACCTGTGAATCCTCATCCCAGGTTCAGAATTTCAACATAAAAACGGGAGAAAAAGTAGGAAAGTATGAGCACAACAGCCTACTTTTGAACACATAACAGGTTAGAGTCCTGTGAATGGTCCCCTAGTGAAATGAAGCCAAACCACCTGGCCTCCAAAGGGGAGCCAGAGGGTGACTCAACTGGTGGTCCAGCAGCTGCATCCCACCAGCGGCCTACAGCTGAGATGTGTTTGCATCCGCATGTTACTGCTTTTAAAAAACACGAGTGTGCGCACACGTGTTTGCTGAACAAAAGTGAAACTTACCAGGATCCCAGCAAACTGCTTCTCTTCCATCCTTCAGGACCTCGTCGGCAAAGATCCCCTGCCTCTCTCTCGCTCGCGCGCGCGCTCTCTCTCTCTCTCCCTGTGTCTGGGATGGACTCGTCTGCCTCTCGCCCAGCAAAGTTTGGAGTTTTCTGAGGTGGTCGAGGTTCGCTGGAGCGTCTTCACCCCCGTCGCGTCGCTCTCTCCGTCTCTGTCCCCCCTTCTTCTGTGCTGCTTGCAAGTGTAGCTGAAGTGGCGTCGCTGCTTTGTGCTAATTCTGCCCTAATCCAGAAACTTTTCTATGCTGTGAAAAGAACACGTGACAGGCAGAGAGGGGTGGAGGGAGAACAGGAGTTGGGGGGGGGAGAAAGGGGTAGGGTAAGTGGGGAATAGGGGGGAAGGCAAAGCAACACTTTTTTTTTAGTTTCTTGTCCCCTTTGGCCATGTTCAAAACAGCTTGTCAGTCTTAGTACATGACCTGCTCTGAGGTCAAAATTTTTAAAACCACACATCAACTGTTTATGGTGAGAGTTGAAGAAAAGGTGGGAATGTAACTGGTAAAGCATCAGTTAGTGAGGATGCAGGCAAACAATTCAGAAAACATGTAGTGACAGATTTGCATTTTTTTTTTTTTTAGCAAAGCAGCTGCCATAACAAAGTGCCCTTTTGTGTAAAGAGATTAACTGTTAGGGAAACGTTTAGACTGCCCACTGACTACTGCTGTGTGGAAGCCAGACTGGGAAAAGAACACTCAGCCTGGATCTGGAAGAAAAGTGGCCGAAAATACTTTGGATTGAAAAGTTTCTGAAATGTGCATCTGGGCACTTACCCACTGCATCCCTGCACGCATGTTCAGAGCAAACAACATCAACAGTAGTTTATAATAGATATACACCTGTAAATACTACAGCTACAGATTCATCTGCAGCTGTTTCTGCTCATGAATGAATTACTGATTTGGTCTACCAAACCTGAAAAAGCCAGTCTTCCCAGCAGCTTATATTTCTCCAACAGTCCAAAACACAAACAGATATAAACTAGACATCCCTCAAATCTGAAGTATGCCTCCCTTTATTTGGCTCTGGGAATAAAAATGTTCAAACCCCCCCCCCAAACAAAAAAAAAAAATCTCAGTGTATACTAGACGCGCTCGTGAAAAGTGGCCAAATATAGCCACTATTTACTGTTACGGGCAAAAAAAAAAAAAATCCCCCACACATGTACACGTCACATACACGGGAGCCTACAGGGACTGGAAAAAATGCCTCCCCCTGGGGTCAACCATCATACACATCATGATGCACACTGATAAAAAGATGGGAAGACACTAGATTAAAAACTGATCCTTACCATCCACAATATGATGTCTGAACAGAGAAAAACCACACAACCAAAACACAACCTTGTACGTCAGGAAAAGGGCTAGCAGCTCGGCCGTGAGAAACTCACTGACACAAAGGCTGAAGTCTTTGATCAAATCACCGTGCTCTGGCCCCTTCTCTCTGGCTGGGTAATGTATGTACATAAGGTAAGAGTTGAGCCAAGCCTATTGGGCAATCCAGGGAGGCGTGTCAGCAAGAGGTTACGTCCAACTTACTCTGAAACCTGACGTGTCTGTTGGCCCTTGTGAGGTAAGTAGCTTCCAAGCACAGACTGCATAATGTCCCACGGTACCACCTTGTCACTAACATGAAGTAATCTTATCAATAAAAAATGCCCAAAACTGTCTGATTATTGTAAATGGGACAACTTTTCTTTTTTTTTTTTAAATGAAGTGTTTTCTGGTTTTGAACTTTATATTCCTTTCCACAGAGGAGCGGATTAATGGATTAACTGAGAATGAGAATTATGTTATTCCCTGCCCCATTCACCACTAAGTTGCTTGTGAGGAAAAAAAAAAAGCAGAAATATCCATAACCAATGAGCTTGGCAAGAGGGGCTCAAGAGGTGAATCTTGAAGATAAAAAAAACAAAACGTTTTTGGTTTGGATGACGTTGGCTCTTCAGAGAATTTAAACATTTCCTTTAGTAAAAAGACAGGCTGCAGACTGAACACTAATGCATGCCCCGACTACACCACAAAAAGCCAAGGATGATGCAAAGTAGGTTCAGAGCCGACTGCTTACACAGCATTAATGATAAACCCGGTAAGAATGAGCTCCTCAGCCTCTGGTTACCTCTCATTTCTTCCACCCTTCTATGTATAATTACTTGGACATCTACAAAATTTAAGGAATATTAAAAAAAAAAAAAATCAGTTATAATGATGAATATGAGCTTATTGTGCAGACTGACATTTTTAATTTGAGGTTATTCACGACCAAATTAGAGGGAGGGTTTAGGAATTACAGCACTCTAAAAGTAATTGGAAAGGTGACTGAAAAGCCATTTCGTGAGCAGGTGAGTGCTATTGTTTAGTTATTTCTTCGTAAATTAAACGGATCAGGAGTTGTTTGCAGGATGCATCACAACATCGAGTCCAAATAAAGAACACTCTCTAAGAGTTCGACATATCACAATCCGAGTCTACCGTACTGAGATGTTGTATGAAGAAATGCATAGGAAGTTACTATAAAGAGCAAAAGAATCAAAAGCCTGCAGAACAAAAAGGGGTAAACTTTATAAAACATAAAAAGAGATCATTTCTGGCACAAAATCCTCTGTAAAAGCTGTTTCAGTACCATTCAAACTGATCGGTATGCATGGCCATACAGATCAACAGCTCTTAGTTTGTCTGTCATTTTCCAGTACATGGTTCCTGGTTGATTTCTCTAGGTTTACATTCTCAGGTTTTCCTAGTTTTGCAATTGAGTTTTGTTCCAAGTTATAGTTTTGTTTATACTTAATTTCTTAAATCATTTTATATTTTGCATTTTGGCCTCTATCAAATAAACGGTTTCCCTTTTGTAGAAACCAGCCTGCATTTTGGGTCCTCAACTTCACATAGACTTCAGGACCTACAGACAGCGACAGCATGGTCTGACCAGGCACAGCCCCAGCAGACACAACCTGTTTACATTAGAGGAGTTCTTTTGTTAGGTAGTCAGGCTCCATGGATAATGGTTTTCTGCATTCACCACCCAAAAGAAACAAGATGTTCAGATCCAGACTAACTGGGTAGTTTGTGCTACTCCAGATTACGTGGATAATCCAGAGTCTGTGCAGGATGCCTCCGAGACTGTGCCTCAGCTGGTGACCTTCATTTGTCCCGAGCCCCTGGTGTATCCGAAGCCTGAGCAGGATACACCTGCCAGATCCCGAGCCAGTGCAGACTGCGTGCCCTGCACAATCCCAGCCAGAGGAGACTGTGTTCACTGTGTAGCCCCAGTTTCCAGAATCTGAGCCCAAGGGACTTGTGTTGTTTGACCCCGAGTCTGAACAGCCTAAGATTGAGCCAGGATGACTCTTTTGTGAGTGGCTTCCAGCTCATCCACCTGACAGTCTCCTTTGTTGCGAGTCATCTGAAGGTCTCTGACTCCACTGCTGATCATCTGTTTGGCCTCCAGAAGGTCTCTTTGACCACTACTGGACTTCAGATGGTCCCTGCCTCTGTTGTTGGTATCCTGCCATGAGAGGGTCACCCTCATTCGTAAATGTCAGCCTCTAGAGGGTCTTCGTCTCCATCACTGGCCACCTGGCCGGAAGTGGTGATATAGCCCCCAGAACACCTCAGTCACCACTTCTGGCCACCTCTGGAGAGGTCCCTCTGATGCCGCTGCCAACCTGCGGGCCAGCCTCTTGAACTGCTCAGTCTTCAACGCTGGGCCCCAAACAGACCCTCAGAAGCATCCTCCTGCTCAGCTCTGCATTTGGGTCAAACTCCTGAGCGAGTACTTACAAAATTAAAAGTCTTATTCGATTTTTCACAAGGCTACTTTTCAGTTCTAATAGAGGTTTTTTTTGTGTTCATATTCTTGCGTGAGTAGATTGTAATGGGGATAATTAAGAAACTATGAATAAAGCAGACTTCTTCTGATTGATTCTTTAATCAATGAAAACATGAGTAAATTAATAAGTAGTTAATAGAGGTAGAAGCTGAGGATGGACACTTTTCAGCGACTGCAACTACAAGACCCTGGTGAGTAGCAGTGTCAGCCCGTCTCTCCAGTCCAGAATAAAATACCTCAGCATTGGTGCTGTCAGAATCAGAATCAGAATACTTTATTGATCCCTGGGGGAAATTATTTTTTTGTTACAGTGCTCCATTATAAACCAAGATTAACAGAGGATGAAGTCCAATGTTTCTTTTTTTGCAAAGATTAGAGAAAAATCAAAGATTTTCACACTTGTGTCCAAGTACATGCACTACTTTTATGTTGAAAACAAATGCATGCTAATACATGAAACTAACATAGCTAACATGATTAACAATATAAGAAAAAGAATCTGCATTTCATTGTGAATCCCCAAATGTAAAAGAGTAGGAGGCTGCCTGAAAATGTGCAATATAAAGTTTGCCTTAAAGTGTTGGGTTGGGACAAAATCCTTCTCAAACAAAACCCGACACTTCGGGCCTCTCCTTGCCTTGATTTATGACCTCTTGACTTTCCATATCTTTAAATTTAAATAAGTTCATAAAAGTGACAGACGACTTACAACAGAGGTCATGGCAAAATAACAAGTGAATAATAATAAAGAGGGTTCAAAAGTCAAGGCTCAAGGTTTGCTCTTTGCTTTCAAGTTAATTCCATCAAACTCACAAAGCAAAAGAAAAGGTAGTTAACATATTTCAAAGTTAATCCACTTATCCTAAATGCTGCATTAGAATTATGCTATTTATCAAGGTGGGGGAAAAAGCCATGATGGCCCTGGATAGTTACACATTAAACACTATGCATAGGCAGTTTTTTTTTCTTTTTTTGTTGGGGCCCCATTGATCTGGGGATAAAACGGCCTGCTGAGTCAAAGAATTGGAAGGAACGAGGTTCACAAATGACAGATAGTTTGTTGTAATTACATTTTTGCTGAGCCATCGCTTCAGCAAATAAAAGAGCTAAGGTGGATCCACGCAAGAAGAGCTCATGAATTACTTTCCTTTATTTACCAGACAGATGCACCACCAGCCTCCTACACAACCTGTCCTTGATTTGTACACATCTACACTGTAGCACTGTGAGACATGACGTACAACGCAGTGGATTTAAGACAAAACAGCACCCATTATTATTGTTTAGAATGCATCATATTTTTTGCAAATCGGCCATGTTTACTTTCAATAAAGTCAATATGCAGCAGAATGATTGGAGCTTCACAAGCTCCATTTTGTCATAGCAGGCAGTCTGCTCCTCACAACTAAGACATTGT